GGGGGGGGAGTGGTGAATATAGGGTTACAGGGGTGCCGGGAAAGCCTCGGATGCTTACTAATCTAATACTATTTTCAAAATAATCTGGGATTCTTTTTGTACAAATAATCCTAAAAGAATCCTAAAAGAATCCCGCGAAAAGAATCTAATCCAAACAGGCCCTTAGGTTAAATAGATCGATTATTAATTGGAAATGCTTCTATGGTATTAAGACTATAGAAAAACAAGATTTATTAGTACTCTAATCATTTACTTTGCCAAAAAAAGAGGGATAGGATTTACAATAAGTTAATAGCTAAGGTGTTCTAGCAGGGTTTGAGGGATTTTCAGTTAGAGTACTACTAGGATAGGGTCGGACTCGAACTGGAGAAAGAAGTATAACAAGAAGTCTAAGTGTGGGCTTAGTTATATAGCAAAGAAAACCTTTGAAGTTGAACCGTTGCTAAATGTATGACAGTGGATTATTTGGCTCGAAATAATCTATTTTACTTGTGAAATACCTAGTCTTACAAAAGATAACTGAAAACAGACATAAAGTGAAAAGAAAACGACGTAGGATCCCCCATCAGGACCCCATTACTCTTCCGTATATTACGCGAACTCTACCCCTGACTAAAACTTAGGCATTGGCAAAAATTGCTCAAGAGGTTTTGGTGGTTCTGGGTAACTTAGATCTGAGCACTTAACTTCGCAACCGATGATTTGATTATCTGGCACCACTATGCTGAAATCAAGCATACCAACAGTGTACTAGCCGTCCGCGCGCGGTTGGGTGTCAGGCATGTTCGTCCCACTCCGTGGTTTATCGCAAGATCGGCGAAAGTACCCGTGGATTCGGCGGTTACGCTTAGCCTTCCAGATGACGTGGCAACCTTGGTCGGACCAGGAGCAGGAGCTTGTATCGGATTTGGCGTTGCATATTGTGGTTACTTCGGATCCCCCTGCGTTGTGGCTCAAAGAAAGGCCTCCCCCGATATCCAGTACCTCCTTTAGCTTCCCGAGTTTGCCTTCAAATGAGACCTGTACAGCATTGTCCCAGCTCTTTCCGTTTGCCACACAGGACTGGTTCAGTGATATCGATAGTTGGGAGCAAGTGCTCGTTGTTTTGCAATCAACCGCATTGCCGGTATTAATCCCTTGACGAGCAGTCAGCGAAAAGAGTTCGTTCATGGAGGTGCGTGGGCTTGGTTTCGGGTAGAGTTTACTCACAATCACTGTATTCGACTTGGTGTTCGACAAAGAACTGATCAGTCCAGCAATGATTCTTGAAGGTGTATAGGCCATTGTCGCAAAAAGAGTCGGGGTAAACACCCTAACCATCTTTGTACTTGCTTGGGCCTGATGCATAGCTAGGGTCACCGGTGGCACTGCAGTCAGGAAGGCCGCCTTTGAATGTTGATTGGTCGAACCGAGCGAAGTTTGCCGTCGATTCTGGTTTTTGCCATCCAGAAATTCACCGAGGCTCAATCCATCTGGGAGCCCAAATCTCTCAAGGTCTTCTAGTTTTCCTGGCCTCGCGAGGGTAAGACTTGCGCCAAGACTAAGAAGCAGAATGAATAAGAGGTTGCTTAACATAGTTGAACGAACGAATGGAAGTGGGGAGTTTGAAGATTATAAGGAGTTTCGGTTTAATTTGGATTTTATGAGTGAGAGATTGGGAGCGAGTGTGAAGTTGAAGAGTGTACAACTTTTGAAAGGATGACTGGCCTCTATATATGTTGCTTGGGATGTACTCTCCGTTCGCACTGATCATGTGTTTTGATCCTCACGTTCCTGTAATCAATTGATTTATATTGGAGATCACTGATCGGGAACCTTGACGCCGCATTTTGGAGGCGACAGATCCTGCATGCACACGCTTTTGTAAAAATGAAGAAAGACGTAGTTAAGGTCAGGATATGAGCGAGTCGTCTTTTTGGTAAGCCACTACATATCAAAATTGCGCTTGATCATGCCTGCTTTACAGTGGGTCCAAAAATAGACAAATCAATTCTGACTGGCGTGGAAATTTTTATGGGGGTGGCGATTCATTTTAGAAACTCCTACTATTTTAAAAAGTGTGACAGTATTCTCCTTCAATGGAGTGGCGAAGTGCTCCAGGACTTCCAATGCTCTCTTCCACAAGCACTTTCTATATTTCAGCAACTTTTCTCCTGTTTCATACACTAATATCCGTGGTCCGCCTTGAAAGCGTAGCTAGCAAAGAATATTATGAAAAGCCCGAAAATTGAACGGCAAAACTATACAGTATACCCTTAAGTGTCTTTTGACTCTTGTACATGTGACCGTAGGACTTAAGCCCTAGGAGACAGTAAGATTAAAGTATCGTTTCGACAGAGATGCCCAATCTTTACTCAGTCAAGAAGGGGGTTAGGGCAAGCTAGTAATCTTAAAAAGGGGCAGAAATTCGGGTTTCAAGGTGGGTAGCAAACTGCAACGGGATGTAAATGGGCACCATATACGTACCAGGGGACTTGATAAAGGCCTTTGAACGCCATCAAGATAATAATCTTAGAGCTCATTGGAGGTGAATACTAAGTCGATATAACGATATGCCTAACTTTATTCCTGGTGGGTGTATAAAATAGGAGCTGTATTTTTACAAGTTGGGATTTGTTGTTCGCACTTTTTCCTTGGTATTCCCAAAGTTCACAAGTGTGAGGGGGCTTAGAATATTGTTGTGCTGCACATTCGAGCCTTAATATTCCTCCAATCTCTCGTAAATGAAGATTGTCTGCCAAATGACTTTTGGCTCGACTGATCCTGTTACATTATCCAGAGAGATTCTGTTGGATTGTAATTGTACTCATTATTTCTGCTTTCACTTCAAATGTTCCTCAGTAGCCCCAGAACAATGATGTCTTTTGAAGAGTTTGAGAGGGAAATAGATACATAGTCCTTGTTGCGGAAGGAACTCCTGCTTTGAAGGTGCGGTCTAAGAATATCAACATAGGCTATCTCGCCATTTTATTGGTACCATTATCAGCACTATGATTATTAGCACTGAAACGAAAACGATTTCATTAATCCTAGATTGTCCAAAATGTCGAGTCTAACTTTTTTTGCACGAAACCAAAATAGTCATAGCTTGTTTGAGCAATTTGTCCGTTTTATCAAGAGGTTTGCGACCAGTGTGTAGCCCCTCTTTCTCTACAGCTGAGGATATAAAAATAGAACCTAGGAGGTAGAGGTGCATGACCCCCATATATTGATTTAACCGCCAGCCTCGTCCACTCTGCTCAAAGAATCTATTTCCAATTCATGTCCGAGTCAATTTCTTCTTGAATCCATCTTTTTTCATCAAAGATCATAGCATCAATGGCATCATCATCAACACACAGTGGTCAGCCCGCAAGTGAAAACGAGCAACGAGACTTCCCTCCAACTTCCTACACCGTCGGATGGATCTCCGCATTGCCTACCGAGTCTATAGCGGCACAGTCAATGCTAGATGAGCGACACAAATCTCCTGAGACGAGAAACCAGCACGACAGCAATACATACATACTGGGCAGAGTAGGGAAACACAATGTCGTCATGGCATGTCTTGACGACTATGGCCCCACTCGTGCTGCTATGGTAGCCTCGAATATGATGTCCGCTTTCCCAAACGTACGATTCGGTCTGATGGTCGGAATAGGTGGCGGAATACCAAGCAAAGAGAATGATATTCGTCTCGGAGACATCGTTGTCTCGAAGCCCACAGGGGAACATGGCGGGGTTGTACAATATGATCTTGGGAAAATGGAGAAAGATGAGTTTCATCGCCTCGATTCGCTAAACAAGCCCCCTCCTCTTTTGAGGACTGCAGTGAATGCCCTCAAGACGAGATACGACTTTGAAACACAAATCTCAGAGCGAGCGACTACCGCGTTTAAGTTTTGCCCAAAATGGGAAAAGATGTTCTTACGACCATTGTCTCAAGACAGGCTCTTTGGACCGGATTACGAACATGTAAGCGACAACCAAACATGTGAGGAATGCGATAGAGTATATGAGTTGCTTCGAGAAGAACGGCCAGATCCTGCTATCCCTGAGATTCACTATGGGAAAATTGCGTCTGGGGGTTCAGTCATCAAGAAGGCAAGCGATCGGGATCATCTAGGGAAGAGAGATAATGCTATATGTTTTGACATGGAAGCGGCTGGCCTGATGGACGATTTTCCTTGCCTCGTGGTCCGCGGTATCTGTGATTATTCGGATTCACACAAGAACAAGAATTGGCAGCCCTACGCTGCTGCAGTGGCAGCTGCTTATGCAAAGGAACTGTTGTTACAGATTCCGCCGGAAGCTGTGAAGAGTTTGCGTCCGATACAGAGTGAGTGATACCTGTCCAGAGCACATTAGGCAATTGGTAGCAGTGGGTTCTTAGGTAGCATCGCAATATATATGTTTTTTGCGTCTCGCTTACTATAATTGATTGAATTAGATGTCCATTGGATTGTTCCGAAGAGTGTCAATCCTTTCTTCACAGGTCGCGAGAGAATCTTGCGAGAGCTCCGAGGTATATTTGCCAACCTGGCGATGAGAAAGACTCCGTGCATAAACGTTTCGTCATCCATGGCATTGGTGGTGCTGGGAAAAGCGAGGTATGCGTAAAATTTGCACACGACAACAAGAACAAGTGAGTGTTCCTGGAGTTCTCAAATGACGGCATTCGCTAATAACTCGTATCAGTTTCTGGGGAGTCTTCTGGATAGACGCCACAACCGAAGATTCTATCCGTCGAGGTATGATCTGTGCTGCGCAGAGAGCTTTCAATAATAGCAGCATGAATTTCGAGGACGCCAAAACCGAATTCTCAAATTTTGAGTACTCCTGGCTTTTGATACTAGATAATGCCGATAACCCAGAGATCAACTACGAGCAATACTTTCCAACAGGAAATACCGGCAATATCATTATGACGACTCGGAACCACGACTGCATAAAGTATGGTACAGCCGGACACGAAACCTTTGAGAAACTCGACCTAGAAGACGCCGTAGAGCTTTTGCTGAAGTCTTCTGGAATAAAAAAAGAATACCGGGATGAAAACGAGGCCGAAGCGTCAAACGTCGTCCAGCTTCTTGTACGGCATGCACTCGCGATTACTCAAGCTGGCGCTACAATCAATCAAGGGATCTGCAACCTTCCGAATTACTCAAAGTTTCTCACCTCCCAACAAAAAGAATTACTCAGTGACTATCCAACTCAGAGTCAGTCAACATACGGCAGCGTGTACGCAACCTCTGAGGTCTCTGTACAAGCAATGCAGAGATCAAAGAAAAGCGAATGGAAGGATGCGCTGGCTCTACTTCAGATTCTCGGGTACTTCTATCGGGACAATTTATCTGAGGAAATCTTCTCCAGAGCATGGGATTATGCCCTCAATATATCCACTTGGCAACCGCATGATCTCCTCACACATTTATCGATGTGGCATGTACACTATCTCAGAAGAATATTGCCACCACAAGCAAGCAATCGTGACGAAGCTCTAATGTCATTCGGAAGAGCAAGACAAGTCTTGCGCTCCTTCTCGCTTGTTTCTTTTGACCCTCAAACTTCGGCCATTTAAATACACCCATTAGCCCATACATGGGCCCGAGACAGATTGCAGCATCAGGACCAAATTTTAGTATGGGTGACTGCCTCCTCCATTCTGGCTTTATCGGTGATCAAGCTCGATTACGAAGATTATTTTGGAAGTGCACAGGCTCATTTTGAACAATGCCTCATCCTTCAACACGAACTTGTTTTAGAAAGATTACCAGGGCTAGAGATTTGAAGAATACTTTACAGGTTCTATTGGGTCTTTTCTCGGATAGGAAATCAACAAGGTCATAGAATCGTTTCGTTGCTTAGATCCAGAATTGGAGCTGAAATATTACCACAATCACAGAATTTGCGGAATATTAACCATATCTCTAGCACATCACTCAGAATTCAGAACAGAAATACCGAGGCAATGGAATTGATTCAAGAAGTCGTTACTTTCGACAAGAAATTAAAGAATAAGGAAAGATTATTACAGTCTCAGCTAGAATTGGCCAGGGTACTGTTCGAACTCGGAAGATTTCACGATAGTCTGAACCTATTTAAAAGAGTATTCCCCCTCGGAAAAGTTTTGGAACATCAGTTCGAGATGTCGATCATACAAGGGTTGGCAGGATCATATGGGAAGATTGAGCAGCCCAGAAAAGCTATGAAGTTATTTAAAAGACCGCCCGGGCCGCAATGTGTAAAACAAGAATTGCAGATGTGGGATTTCATGTATTTACGATCTCTCCAGGAGCTACGAAGTCTTCGGGAAATACAAAGAAGCTATTGTTTGCGTAAAATATGGAATCCATACACACAAAAAGGCTCTGCATTACAGGCACAACGATTATTTGTTTTGGAACACAGCTCTGGCGAGAATTTATGTGGAGGATAGCCAACCACAGAAAGCCGCGGCATTTCTTCAGAAAGTTATTTCAAATCGAGAGAATAAAGTGGAATCTGAAAACGTTTATTTGCTCGATGCACGGGTTTATCTAGCGGATGCGTTTATCAAGCTTGGACATCCTCAGGAGCCATTACCGATTCTCCGAGAAGTGACTCGCATAAGAGCAGACATATCATCATCCTATGACAAACGTCGTATCTGGTATGAGCACCTTCTTTCTCATTGCCTTGATCTTATCGAACAAAACACATCAGAAGATGGTGTCTACATACCCGACTCGGACGCCGACTCATTGGATAATCTCCCTGATATCGATCCTGATAACCTCAGCGATATTCATACGCCTGACATCTCTGACTATTGTTCCTTTGAGATTTCGGATCCCGAAGATGATTCTGAGCCAGAGTCTCCATCCGAATCGCACCCTTTACGTGTTAGCGACTCCAAATCGAAGGCTGTACCAGGTGATTCTAGCAATGCAGGGAGAGAATTTGCACCAGAGGCATCGTCCATTTGAAGTCCAAGAGCTTCAGAAGACATACGTACTGAGATCTATGGGAGCAGGGAAAACCAGGTTCTACCAGGTTCCTCTCGCCCAGCTTCAAAGATCAAAAAGCCGAGTTGGTTTCGGAAGCAAGTATCGAAACTTCGAAAAAGGTAGCCTCTGGACAAACTACTTCTTCGGCAGTTGAGAGTGCTCTGAATTCTCAGCCACGCATCCCAAATTGAATTCTACCATGTGAGAATTGATTCAAGCATCAGACAATTCATACACCAAGACGGATCTTGCCATCATTCAAGCAGCGACTCCATGACTTCAGTATGCAACATTTAACTGAACTAGAGAATGAAAGACTTGGGATACTGACACGAGTGGGAGCTGGAATTCGGAGTGCCAGAGAAAGATTTTGTCTATCAGAGAATCCTATCATCTAAGCCGAATGTTACTGATTGCTACAAAATCCAAAGCCGCGATATTCAACGTGAGTTGACCAAAATACTCTACCAATCTCCCAATAACTGACAGGAACAGGAAGGAAAATCTCGGGAGTAGAGTTTGATTTGATTTGATTCGAGAATGTTTAACTTCGGTCGAAGACTGGCATCTAGGCCAGCTGCAAAGATTTCTAGATTTGGGTTAAGGACGCGGGAGAGGGGGAGGGGGAGGGAAAGAGGGAAAACCGTAGGTTATAGGTGGTGTGAAATAGAAGACTATTTCATAAAATGTGAAAAATAAAGATCCAGAGAATCTTTACTTTTGGAGAAGCTCTTTTTGCTGCGTGGATAATTTAGTACCCTTTTGTTCACTACTATCAGCCTGGCTAGGCTACGGTAATAGCATACTCCAGGAAACCGCGAGGGGAAGACCCCAATTAACAGCTATAGCTGAGTAGACGGTGAAGACCTTTTTTAGCTCCCTATAATATGCCTATTTACCTATTAGATATCTGTTTTCTATAAGACTCCATGTCCATAGTATAAATAGCTACTGTTAGGCGAAAAACTGTCCATCGCGAGTGGAATTGGTTACAAAAATACCAATTTTTAGCTCGCATGTGAAACCTCGCTTAGAACAACATATTACCCCTGGCCTGGCTTGTTCCACTAGTTTTATGTCATATAGATTTGTAGTTCGAATTCTTCAGCCCTGGGAATCTATTTGACTAACAACATTTCCCTCGCGAAACTTTCCTGGGCATCCCAATATATTATTCAGCTGCCCCACTATTATCACATGCCACTCTACAAATTCTAACAAAGACCTCTTCCGTCCCAAAATCACCTCCAATGGCCCTCAAAGTTACAACAATAGAACTGAAAAATAACATGCGCTTCATATCCCGGTACCCCCCAATACCCCCTAAAACACACCAACTTACCCCACCCCACAAACCACCCACCCCAAGCCGAGGTAAAAAAAACCTCCAAACTATAACCCCATTACCCTCCATCCCCACCCCACCCCGCCAAAAAAAGACGGTAGCACAAAAATATAGCCAAAGCTCACACAAAAAAGCGGGTACCTGCATAACAATTCATCCAGCTGACACTCATCACACCTTATGCAGATATCGCTCCATCTACCCGACGAATATTGATTAAGGATCTCCTGCTGTCCGACGACATCTTTTCTAAATTTTCCTCTCCCAAAGATTCTAGAGCTCTGTTGGATATTTTGACGATTTGAGGATTTTTAGTTTAGGTTGATTGGAAGTGACGACATAAATATCTAGGTTTTTATTTTTAGTACCCCTCGGTTGATATAAGTTTCGCTAATTGGGGGAGGTAGAAGTAAATTTATCTTAGCTTGATTCGCCTTTCTATCCTTTCCTGGAACTACGATTCATCCTATTCCAACAACCAATTCCTCTCTTCCCACCCAACTCACCAATTCCCTCCTAAACCCCCCTCAAAATGGCACCCCTAACACCAACCTGGACGCAACCCTCCCACCCACACATCCAAAAAGTCATTTACGGAACAAACAGCTCCCAAGAATTTACCTCCAAGTCCCTTTCTACAGTAGACCTCCCTCCCTTCGCCGTGTACGCGAAAATGGATTTCCCACCGTGTACATACGCACCGGAAGCGACGTATGCCACGGTGCAATGTGGGAAGGGACGGCATTTGAATTTGAATAGTGATTTGGTTTATATTAATCATTCTTGTGAACCTAGTGTGGTGTGTATTTCCTTTGCTTCCTCCCTTTTCCTTTTCATTATTTTCTTGACTCCACTGTATATTTCCGTCTAGAAGACGAGAAGAGAAAACAATCAAACACCCCTCAACCACAACACAAAACACCCACTAACCCAAACACCACCCAGATCTTCGAAACAACAACCCGCACAATCCTCACCGGCCCCCAGGGTCTCAGAACCGGCCAAGAACTAACCTTCTTCTACCCCAGCACCGAATGGGACATGGCACAAGGCTTCCAATGTCTCTGCAGCACGCCCTCCTGCAAAGGCCTCATCACCGGCGCCAAAGACATGACCTCTCAAAACCTAGCGGGGTATTATTTGAATGGCCATATTAGGGAGTTGCTTGAGGAGAAGAATGGTGGTATGAATGGTGTGGATGAGATGAAGGAGCTATTGGAGGTGACGGTTAGGAAGGCGAGGGAGGCGTTGGAGAGTGCGGAGAGTGCTTTGGGTGGGTATTCGAAGGTTATGAGGGAGATTGGGAGGGGTATGAATGGGAGTGGGAAGGAAGAGAAACGGAATGGGGTTGGGAAGATGAATGGGGAGGGCGTTGGAGGGGGTGATATGTTGGGTTTTGAAGGGGCGGGTCGACGGGGTGTTACAAGTCGTGAGATGAGTGGTGAGATGGGTGGGGATACTATCTAAGTTCTAACCTGATTTCCTTGAGGAGGCTTTTTGTTTCTGCGCTTTTCTTTCTTTGCAATTCATTCATTCGTTTTCATGCTCACTAAATCTTTCTTTCGAAGAGGAGATCTTCAACAGATATCAATACATTAAGGGTATAGAAAGTAGATTCAACATTCAATCAACAATACACACGCAAGTGACAAAACCGAGGAACTACAAAACCTCCCTCATACTTACCCCTCAATCCCCCATCCTACCCCTCACCAAAAAAATTCAATTGAAACTCTATCCCCTCAAGACTTCTCGGTACTCGAGTACAACAAACCACATCCTCTCAACCATGAACCCTCCCAAAACGTAAGCAAACCCACAGGACCAAGACCCTGGGTACCAAAGGAGTGGGTAGACGGAAACTGGAATCGAAGGGTGTATGTGTAGTAGAAATAAGCAGTCTGCAGACGTCCTTCGGGACAAGTTGGGCTAATGATTATCAATACAATCGGTTATCCACATATTTTTAAAGGAACCCACCCTACTCGTACCGTACTGTAGTAAATCGAACTTAAGCAGGATGCTGGGGTGTGTACTGGAGGTGGAGTACCGAGACTACTTGTCAGGCCACTTAACGGCTAGATTTATACGGGTCCTTCTTAAGTTCGATTTACTTACTACAGTACCTTAACCCTCATCACATGCAATCCCCTCCACCCCACCCCACTTCCACCTAGCTACCTCGCCACACATCACGCTCCCCGCACATCTCAATCCTCCATCCCTCTTACCTACATATGCCCAAATAACTCCCCGGCTCCCATCCAATCATAATCAAAACGAAAAGGAAAAGTCGCGATGCCAGAGTGGTTAATGGGTAAGACTTGAATGGTTTGTCTTCAATGACAAACTATCTCAGATATCTTATGGTTTCGGCCGCGTAGGTTCGAACCCTACTCGCGACGTTTGATGGTTTTCTTCTTTTGGTTTCGTATTTGTACTGTACCTGTGGTGGGGAGTGGCCGCGTTCAATCCCTGCTCGCGACGATGATTTGGTTGGTGAATGTTTTTTTCTTCTTGTTTTGGTATTTGTTTTATATATGTATCTGCGAGGAAGAAGATGATGAAAGAGTGTGAAGGAGTATTTTTATTTCGAGGAGAAAAGAGATGGGAAGGAAAAGTGGCGGTGAGTGGGGGAAACATAACTCGTATTTCTTGGGGTGGAATAGGAGAATTAAAAGGTGGGTTGAAGCTGAATGACTGAATGAAGACCGTAGTAATATGAAGCATATTATAATCGAGGTAAGTCTTTGTAAATATACAGAATATATGAAATATAATATATACTACTTTAATTCATTTGTTGTTACAAATAATCTACCCTTACAGTACAAAAGATTCGAGAGAAAACCCGGTAGATCCCGACCCCCTCAAAAACCCAGTGTCAAAAAACGCCCCACCAGTAATCTACCGCTTGTTTACACATATCATATACATGCCCCCCAAAATACACAGCTCACAAATGAAAGAACCCTCTGAAAAGAAATGAAAAAGCCGTCAACCCATTACCTAATCATCAAACCATCGTTCAGGGACTCTTTATTTCCCCTTCTCAGCACCCGCACCACCGGCGTATTTCCTCTCTTCCTCTTCCCATTGTAGCCGTTCAACTCTACTTCTAGCCAAGAACGCTCTTGCGAATCTCCAGGCTTCGGTATCTGCAAGATTCCACGCTTCAATCGCACCGCGAATTCTTTCTTCGTCATTGGTTCTTGCGATACCGAATTCCTTGGATCGTTTTAATAATTGCTCTTCCTTCAAGATGTCTTCTTCGCTTGCAATTGGTCCATCTTTTGGATCCGGAGTTGGTTTTGGTCGTCTCTCTGGTCCGGGAACAGGAGTTTCGGATTTCCCATTGTCCGTGACATTTCGAGGAATGGTAAATCCAAAGTTCCAATCCAGATCTTGTGGGATATCTTTCTCGGCTGTAACCCAGAGGGAGTGAAATCTTCCATGATCACCGGCAACTGCCTCCTTGAATGTGATGACTCGTGGTGCCCCAGAAACTCCTGTGCCCAAATTTTCCTTTGTGAGAAGTGTAAGCCATGGATCACGCTCCGACTCTCTTCGAATCCATCTAGTGTCGATGTTATCGCGGAAGGAAGTCAGGACTGCCATAGTATAAGGATGAGGAACTGTGCCAATTGTGTAGAGTGTTGACGTATTCTTGTAGTGCTGGGGAGTGGAAATGAGAAGTGGAGTAGCCGAGACGCATGGCTTGCAGTTTGGCAAATTAGGCGGGCATGACGCTGGTAAAGGCGAAACAGGACATTGAGCAAGAAACTCAGCAAGTCTACGAGCCGGGGCAATGGCCGCAGACATATGCGTAGGATTCGGTTTCATGACTGCAATCCCAGAAGAGAATCGATTTTGCCATGTACTATGGAGGTGGGCAGTCATAAGTTTGTTCAACTCATGTAGAGCCTTTGCAGGATGTGTCTCGATGTCGGTTCCAATCTTGGGATATTTATCCTTGACCAATTTCTCGTCGTACGCAGCCAGTGAGGTATGACTTGGGTCAATCTCGAATACCGTAGATTTTGCATCAATTGCACCGATGAAGTCCTTTACCTTTTCCAACAATTCCTTGTTCTCAAGAGCTTCCTTCAACGCTGCTGTGACGGCAGATTGGGGACCAACAATCAATCCATTGCCCAAGCCCTCATATCTGGTCAACTTGACATATTTGCCATTGCGTAAAAACGTCAAAAGCGGATCTTCCTGTGGCCCCATTGGAAGAGTTACATAACTACACAAAATTCCGGATCCCATGTTTTCCCAAGCAAGCCACCTTGATAGATCCACCTGCAATGTATCGCTTAGGTTTCTTCTTTGAACTTCAGCATATAATGGATTGTTCATAGCTTCCGCGGAACTAAGAATTATAGGTTTGAATCCCTGCGCCCACCATGCCCTTCTCCAGGTGAGAAGGATGGCATTCTGTGCTTCCTTCAGACCAGCATCTTTCACTGATAGATTGTCATAATATGTGTAAATGGGAGGGCGGTGGACGAGAGGTGGCAGAAGGGAACGGTTTTCGTCCAATGTCACCGACGAGGAGAATGGACTGAGCCAGTTCCAATTGGCGAACCATTTTGATTCCCCATCGGTGCTGTTCTTTCGAATCGGTGGAGCATGTGCTGCTTGTCGAAATGGATGCAGGATGCTGGGCGAGAACTGTTGTGGGAGCTTGGGTAGGGATATTTTGTGATCGGTGTACTTGCTCAAGGACGGGCCAGAAGGCATGGAATTCGGTAATGTGAAAAGGAGTGTGACTACTGCGAATATAGCAATGGTGCCGAGTAGCACTGCCATTCTGCGAGGAGGCACTGCTGGCACAGGCTTGCCGAAGAGGCTGCGTTGGACTGGCATTTTGAAGGATGACGATCCAAGGGAAAGTTGAGGTCGGGAAGGTATTGATTATCGTCGCATCAGATGTTCGGCGGTCGCGGCCGTGTGCCTCGATGTAGGAGTGTGCGTGTATCTGGCTTCGATCAATTTAATGTTGGCATGCGACCCCTATTGCAGTACATGAAGAAGCTGCAGCTGCAGTCGTGGTCGTGTTCGCGCAAACTTGGCACGAGCCGGAGAGACAGAGAGATCCCGTGGAATTAAAAAGACAACTAGAATAGGAAAGTCTTGAGGTCAATATATTGTCCTCTGGTTGTACCTCAAATGGCAGAGACAGAAGAATTGGAAGTTGTCGTAGTAGTTGCGCAACACATCGAACAGAGCTGATGTGGTGCGGGCTGTTGGTGATATTTTGTCCTTCCCGATAAGGCCCACTCAGGTTACCTGGTACCGCGAGCCAACCCAAGCACTGGGAGGGACTCCCGCTTGACCTCAAGCTTCATGTTGCTGACTAAGGAATGATCTGGCCTGTTGATCCATTCACAGCCGTCTTTCATTGTTTTGTTCATTTTTCAAGAAACATTATTTCCGAGTAGATTTGATATTTTGTAAATGAACGCTTAAATACTTGGGTCCTTGAAAAGACAAAAACAATTCTTCATCTGATGATGGGATGAATTTACTTCATGCACGTGATGGTCCGATGTCGCTATAAAAAAAATCTTTAACTTGAATATGGGATACTGCAATATGATGGAGTATTCCACCTGACAGAACCATTGGAATCTCATTCTTGTCCAAACAGAATCGAATACGCTGAATCCCGTCTTTCTCATTCCCATTCTGCCATCCCAATCCAATCTTGGCGAAATCGGAGATTTGTTGCCCGTGAGGTCAGTTCAAAGCTATAAAAGTGGCCGGCTAGTATTTTTCAAGTCATAGAGAGCCAAGAAGGTGACGGCTCCCTTTCTGGGGTGGAAATCCATTCCCTATCGTGTGTCAGAGAAATTGGAATTCAAATTCCGAAAAACTCATCTTTTCGTTCCCACACAAAAGAGAGTTTGAGTCATAGTGTTAACCTTACTTCTTATTTCAACCTCAAATCCAGCCATTGGCCGTCCACATTTTTTCACCAAAATCGCATACAACACCATGGCACCAATTCTTCCTGATCCAACAGCTGACCTTCACTGGTCAGCATTTCGAGGAGCAATTCAAGAAATCTTCGCCGCCAATGCCGAAGCCCATCCAGACAGACTTTGTGTGGTAGAAACAGCAGCCGGTTCTTCACCAAGACGAGAATTTACTTATAGACAAATCAATGAAGCATCAAATATTCTGGCTCACCATTTGGTGCAGTCTGGCATTCAGAGAGGAGAGGTGGTGATGTCTTACAGCCATCGTGGTGTGGACTTGGTTGTGACGGTCATGGGGATTTTGAAAGCTGGAGCCACATTTTCTGTCATCGACCCCTCATATCCACCCGATCGCCAAAATATTTATCTAGATGTTGCGAGGCCACGGGCCTTGGTAGTAATCGACAAAGCCACCAAAGAGGCCGGAGAATTAACCTACAAGGTTCGAAATTTCATCAAGGAAAACCTAGACTTGCGTACCGAAGTCCCTGGGCTGGAATTGAAGGATGATGGGACTCTTGTCGGTGGCAGTATCAATGGAAAAGACGTATTAAAAGAGCAAATCTCTTTGAAGAGTAAGGGACCAGGTGTTGTTGTCGGACCAGATTCTACGCCCACTCTGTCCTTCACATCTGGATCTGAAGGACGACCGAAAGGTGTTCGGGGCCGCCACTACTCTCTCGCGTATTACTTTGATTGGATGGCTGAAAATTTCAAGCTCACTAAAGACGACAAGTTTACTATGTTGAGTGGAATTGCTCATGACCCAATCCAAAGAGACATCTTCACTCCTCTCTTCCTGGGCGCTCAACTATTGGTGCCTTCCAAGGATGATATTCAACACGAGAGACTGGCCGAGTGGATGCGTGAACATGGCGCTACTGTCACTCATCTCACGCCAGCCATGGGTCAAATCTTGGTTGGTGGTGCAAGCGCAGAGTTCCCAGCACTGCATCATTCATTCTTCGTTGGAGATATCTTGATCAAAAGAGACTGCAAGGCACTGCAAAAGCTTGCTGCCAATGTCTCAATTGTCAATATGTACGGCACAACAGAGACTCAACGAGCCGTCAGCTACTTTGAGATTCCAAGTCGTGCTGCAGATCCAGAATACCTGGAGAAAATGGGAAACGTAATCCCGGCTGGAAAAGGAATGAAGGACGTACAACTATTGATCGTGGATCGAGAGAACCGCAATCGTATTTGTGATGTTGGAGAAATTGGAGAGATTTACGTTCGAGCTGCTGGTTTAGCCGAAGGATATCTCGGAAGTGATGAGCTTACCAAGACCAAGTTCATTGATAGCTGGTTCGTGGATAACTCCAAGTGGATTGAAGAGGATAAGAAGGTGGCCAAGTCATTAAGCGAAGAACCATGGAGAGAATTTTACAAAGGTCCAAGAGATCGTATGTACAGATCTGGAGATCTAGGTCGATACACAGAAACTGGCGATGTTGAATGTGTCGGTCGAGCCGATGATCAGGTCAAAATCCGTGGCTTCAGAATTGAGCTTGGTGAAATTGACAAATACCTTTCGGATCATGATATGGTAATGGATAATGTCACTCTGGTTCGCAGAAACAAGGACGAAGAACAAACTCTGGTCAGCTATATCGTTCCAGATATGCAGAAGTGGGCTCAGTGGCATAAATTCAATGGATTTGAAGATGATACATCTGGCGAAGGTATTCAAGGTCGTCTTCGCCGCTTCTGGCCCCTCGGAGATGATGTCAAGAAGTACCTTAAGACCAAACTCGCATCCTACGCTATTCCTGATATCATCATTCCACTAGAAAGATTTCCTTTGAATCCCAATGGAAAGAAAGACAAACCTGCGCTTCCATATCCCGACGCTGCACAACTGGCAGCCGCTCGCCCAATTACCAATATGGCAGAACTGTCACCTATAGAGAAGGAGGTAGCAAGTATCTGGGGTTCGCTGATATCAACAATTGATGAGAGAACCATGAGTCCCGATGATTCATTTTTCGATATTGGTGGTCACAGTATTTTGGCACAGCAGATGCTTTTCAAAGTCAACCAACAATGGACCGGCATCGACATTAACATGAGTGTTATTTTCCAAAATCCAACTCTTAAAGTCTTTGCCGCCCATATCGAAAAGAAGACCTCTTCGCCCAATGGAACCGACAACGTAGAGGCGGATGCTGCAGAAGATTATGCCGGAGATGCCAAAGCCCTCATCTCCCAATTACCGGCTAGCTTCAAGTCAGCAGATTCCGCTATATCACCATCTACACCTCTCACTGTCTTCCTTACCGGAGCTACTGGTTTCTTGGGTTCCTACATTCTGCGAGACCTTTTAACCCGCACATCACAAAACATCAAAGTCATCGCACACGTCAGAGCAATTGACGCCGCTGCAGCTTTAAACAGAGTCACTCTAACTTGCCAAGCATATGGTGTATGGGATCCATCGTGGACTTCTCGTATCACCTGTGTAACTGGAAATCTCGGAGACCCACGATTAGGCCTCTCAGAAACCGACTGGAACAAACTCGCAAATGAAGTCAATGTCATCATCCACAACGGCGCTCTCGTCCATTGGGTTTACCCATACTCAAACCTCAAGCCCGCAAACGTTCAAGGAACACTTGATATCCTCTCATTATGCGCTACCGGAATCCCCAAGTATCTCTCCTTTGTTTCGTCTACCTCCGTCCTTGATACCGAGCACTTCGTCAACCTTTCCAAAGCTAGAAACAGCGTTCCTGAAGACGACGATCTTTCTGGAAGCGCAACAGGTCTAGGAACAGGATATGGGCAATCCAAATGGGTAGCCGAGTATCTCATCCGCGAAGCAGGAGCTCGCGGTCTGCGCGGAACAATCGTTCGTCCAGGATACGTAACAGGCGACAAGATCTCAGGAGTAACCAACACCGACGATTTCCTGATCCGTATGGCGAAAGGGTGTATCCAACTCGGCTGCCGACCCAAGATCTCCAACACCGTTAACATGGTCCCTGTCAACCACGTAGCGAGAGTCGTCATCGCCGCTGCTTTCTCCTCCCCAAAGACACCTCTTGGTGTTGCACAGGTTACTAGTCACCCCCGTCTTACTTTTAGCCAGTATCTTGCTACCCTTGAGACTTACGGGTATGAGGTTCCAGAGGTAGAGTACGGAGTTTGGAAGAAGAAATTAGAGGACTACGCCGCAGCCGCAGCGGAAGATGGAAGAGAACAACACGCTTTGTAAGTCCACCTCTCCCTCCCCCTTCCTCCCTCCCCTAAACCCTCATCCCCCTTCCCCTCCCCACAAACCCCAATCAAACTAACACACCCCCAAGAATGCCCCTTTACCACTTCGCAACCACCAACCTCCCAGCCGACACCATCGCCCCTGAAATGTCCGACATCAACGCCGCCACAGCCCTGCGCTCCGACGCCCTCTTCACGGGTGAAGATCTCTCCTCGGGTGCCGCTGTTGATGAGGAGATCATGGGCAGGTATCTGGCGTATCTTGTTGGTGTGGGTTTTATGAAGGGTCCTGAGGCTGGCAAGGGGATCGAATTACCGACGGGGTCTATTACGGCGGAGCAGAAGGTTGCGTTGTTGAGGGTTGGGGGGAGGGGGGCTTTGATTTGAGGTTGGGGGGAAAGGAGGGGAGGAAG